GATTACATCGTGCAGGAAGACCACCCAAAATGACATGGCAAGAAGGTTAAAGTCCTGGTCCACATGCATCTTTCTCTACTGCAAAGCTAAGCAGAGCAGAGTGAGTGCAATTGCATTAATACTTCAACTTTTCTCTCCTCACAGTGCATGGCAGTTCCAATGCTTACGTCGTTTTCTAGCAACACCCATGAGTTGTGAATAGTAGGAAGCAAATTCTATAATTTTGAAAATATTTAAGTGTAAACTCATATTCCAAAGGTACATAGGAATGAATTGGAATTACTGTAATAATTAAACTGTCCCCAGAAACCCAGTTTCCTCCCTTGTAATAGCAAACATAACGGAGACTGAGATGCATTTCCTTTCTTTGTACTAGAAATGATTACTATGTGAAAACGCAGCCCTAAGGTGAGAACATCAAGTGAAAAGAGTTATTGAATTCCCAGTCTCAACTTTTTAGAAAGTGGACTTTCAAAAATATCTAGTTGATAAGGAGCAAATAATAGATGGAATTCTAATTTATAGTGTATTTTATGTTCTACTCAACAGTGTGCCAGGCTGAAGGAACCATGCCAAAAAAGAAAGACATGGCCCCTGCCCTTACTGGTTTCAAAGCAGAGTGCTTTCAATCTAAGATAAAGCTGTACCTTGATTTAAAAAGAGACTGGGGGCACCTGGGTGGCTCAGTCAGTTAAGCATCCAACTCTGGCTCAGGTCATGATCTCACAGCTCGTGGGTTCGAGCCCCGTGTCGGGCTCTGTGCTGACAGCTTGGAGCCAGGAGCCTGCTTCAGATTCTGTCTCCCTCTCTCTCTGTTCCTCCCCTGCTCATGCTCTGTCTCTCTTCCTCTCTCAAAAATAAATAAACATTAAAAAAAAAATTAAAAACAGAATTATGCAATTACTGCATGTAGCAAGACCACTTAATAATTGAGATTTCAATAGCCTGTCATGTAACTACCACTAACTAGTTTGGGGAGCTTAGTTAAGCCACCTGGTATGGGGGAACCTTATGTTCTTTAGGTTGAAAGTAAATAGGTCTAACTACATGTTCACTGAAATCCTCTCTGGCTCTCACAGTCTAAATGTTTACATTTTTTTTTTTTTTCATGTGCTCCCTCTGTGTTTGTTTGGGTTTCTGTAGCAAAATACCAAAGACTAAAGCTTATAAGCAACAGAAACTTCTTTCTTCCAGAGGCTGGAAGTCTGATATTAAGGTGCCAGCTTGGTCACCTGAGGTCCCACTTCTGGGTTGCATGCTGCTCACTGTATTCCCATGGTGAAAGGGGCGAGAGACTTCTTTGGGGCTTCTTTTGTCAGGGTATGAATCCCACTCTTGAGGGATCTGCCCTCATGAACTAGTCACTCGCCTGCTCCCCCCACCTCCTAATAACATAATCTATGAACATACGAATTTTGGGGGGACATCAACATTTAGACCACAGGAATTGCCTTTAATCTTCATGATCATCTTAAGTGTGAGGGGTAGGGAATGTCATTTGTGGAAGATGGAATAGCTAGAAAATGCCAAAGGGGACGAGAAACCTCGTCTCCAGACTTGGGTTCACAGCCTGAGTGCTCACATGACACAGGGCATGTGAGCACAGGACACTACGGGGACAGACTTGCTGCTTGCTAGCTTTGTGACCTGGACAAGTTAATTTCATACCTCTGAGCTCTGGCTTTTTTTTTTTTTTTTTTTTTTTTTTTTTTTTTTTTTTTTTTTTTTTTTTTTAACGTTCATTTATTTTTGAGACAGAGAGAGACAGAGCATGAACGGGGGAGAGTCAGAGAGAGGGAGACACAGAATCTGAAACAGGCTCCAGGCTCTGAGCTGTCAGCACAGAGCCTGACGCGGGGCTCGAACTCACGGACCGCGAGATCATGACCTGAGCCGAAGTCGGCCGCCCAACCCACTGAGCCACCCAGGCGCCCCTGGCTTTTTTTTGTAAAGCTGGAATACAACCTTGCACATCCATATGACGTTTAACATAAAGTAAAATCTTTGTAGCTAACTTTTATCCCTAATAAAGGGATTAGGCAATATATGTTATTATATAATGACAACTTTAACAAGACTATCAAATTTTGTCTAGAACCCAATGCTTTCTTATAACTGATACCTGAATGTGTTGTACTCCTGTCTCTCAACAAAATACTGTTGTGCTTTCCTCTAGGATCAGGACTTGAGTATCAGGTCTTCTAATATGGCCATTTTAACCAAATGACCTATGAATGAGTCATGCTTGGGATATTTCCGTTTCTATAGCTCATCAATAAAACAAAAATTGTGCCATCTGTTTTTGGAAGGTGGCAAATCTGGTGTTATAGGGAACCCTTAATATTGTTATAACGATTAAAAATTAATGATTAATTATTATTGATTATACATTAGCCATGATATGTCTCTGTTTGACTTTCTATATCTACTTTTTAAAACTTTTTTCAATTTCTGTTAAAATCCATGAGAACGTTAAGTGCTGTTGCTGTAGAAGATTTAAAAAAGGCTTATACAACATATTTGTTATCAATGCTTTATTGTTGAAAACAAAATTGAAATTCTCTGGCACATAAAACAATTATTTCTACAAAAGGAAAGCCTACAAATCTTGATAATTTATACAAATAACAGTTTCTCAAAAAATAAAACTTTAATTTAGTAAACTTGTCTTGTGCTCTATATTTTTAGCACTGTCTGCAATAATCCACCATAAATCCCTGAGCGGAGACATTTTTTGACCATGTTCTATAGCCCCCCGTCCCACCCTCCCCCCAAGTTGGTCAGTTACTAAGCCCAGCCCTGTAGTGAAAGGTGTCAGGGACATTTTGCTATTAAACATCCATGCATTTTATGACACAGGCCCAATTATTAATGCTACTTGGGGACTGGGTCAACTCGAAGTGCCTCTACTGTGCAATCAGCGAACCTATTAAGAACCAAGTGTCTGAAAGGAAGAACATTAACAACAAAAAGACATAAAATGTTAAGATTAGGAAGTCATCATAGGTCAATAACTATTTAAATAAATAAAACTGTTAGACATTGAATTTATCTTTATATCCTTATATTAAATTCCTTATTTATTTACTTATTTTTTTTTTTTTGCAATTGCCAATGTGTTAAAAGATGAAAAATACACTTCAACCCACACTTTTGGTTTGACCACGGGTTTGCTGTTGTTAAACGTTAAATATCATTCTGAAGACACAGTGATCTAGTTATAATTTAACTTTTTGGCCCTTCGATGAAATGTTTACAAAATAATATACCTATTAGGAGGGCCTTCTTACTAATGCCATCAACAAACCTCTCTCACTACATCTGACCTTTTTACAAAAACACTAATTCCGTAGGAACACTACTTTAAATTCTTTATCCCGCTTTATTCAGATACAGAGTAAAACATATAAAATATGGAGAAAACAAAATATGATGTATTTGCATGTCCAGCTTCCTTTTAGTGGGGCTGCTGCTCAATATATATACATGAAAGTTGAAGGAAAGGAGAAAAAAGCTAATTTTCAGTTGCAAAGAACTGACTTAATGAATCAAGTTTTGTTATTTTGCTATGGTAGAATAATAAATAAATAAATATGTAGGGTATTGTATAGCTACTTTCTCTATGAAGTTGATAGTGAACAGTTTTTTTTTTTGCAAAGTTAATTTTTAGTAGCAAAGTTTGCAAGTCAAAACAATGTTCAATAAATGTTTTTCTCTACTTCATTTTTACTTGTGTAATGATCACTGAAGTGGTTACTAATAGGTAAAGGAATAAAATACCAGTTTGCTAGTGAAAAAATAGTTTAACTGTGAAAAGCGCAAGGCAGAAGACCTAAAAACACACAGGCTGATGCTATACTGTAGCTCATTTTTTATGTGTTTTGGGACGAGCAAAATATAAAAAAATAATTCCTTAAAAACTTATTAGCATTGCTGTCTAGGAACCTATCAGAAAGTGATTAGCATTTTATACCAATTCTTTCCAAAATATAACATCACTGGCAACCATTATTATACACTCCTTTGTTCAGACTTGATTTTTTAACCATTAACCACATCTGGGAAGCACACAGCAACTTCCCTTTTGTCTAATAGCTGCTGGCTAGTTATTGGAATTAGAACACTTTTAAGCTCTTTTAGATTTAATCCTTATATAAGCATGTGCATTAACCAGCTATAGCTACTTCAAAAGCCTAAGAATTAATACAGTGAATTCTCCTAGGCAGTCTGGGGGGAAATGCTGGTGACATTAAAAATAAAAATTGCCTGCCGGACATGTAAAAGGTCTCCCCAACCTCTCCAGCAATGCCAGTGTGAAACATGGTTACCTCAGCTCAAACATTGAAAAGCAAATGCTGTCTAAAAGAAATGAAGACTGTGACATCCAAATAATAAAATGTTATGTGCCCTAGTCGGGAAACAACTATAGATTCTGACAGATCTTGACATACTTTAAAATTTTTTTTTTTTCCCCTAAGTTTCACAAATTGGTAAGCAGGCTGTCCCAAAGAGGGAAGACAGCAGCGTCAGGACAACCGGCCGGCACGCTGGGATTCACACGACACTTTAATTATTCCCTATTAACACTTGATCTTAATAGTTTAGCAGGGCTGAATGGACACTCTGACTTCCTCTCACAGTGTTTAAGGAACAGTATAATTTCTAAATTAGCTTTCAAAAATGAACAAAATTTGTAACTTAGATTCCCTGCCCACCTCCCACCCCAATGCCGTAAGATCCTGTTTTAAGTGCTCTGGTTTAATAATAGTTCTATGGGTAACAATTACGTCCTTCAGGAGGTTTCCAATGTTCCCCTTTTTGGTGTTAACGGCTGTGCCAACAGCAGAGTGAATACTCCCAGACGTGGCAGTGACCTCAGTGACCTCTGCCCCCATCTTGGAAGTCCATACCAGCTCTTGTCATAGCACTGCTGGGAAGTTCTGTTCACTAACGAAGCCAGCTTTAAAATATGGAGGAGGAGGAGGTACTGCCCTCCTGTGTCAGGTCTTGGATGTCTTTAAGCCTTGCTTTTCCATAATGTTCCACAGTTTGCGGAGATTGGACTGCGTGATGACATCATCTGGCTTGAGCTGCAGTGCCCGCAGGTAGTTGGCCTCGGCCTTTTGGAGACGGCCATTGAGATGGAGGATAGCCCCCAGGTTCATCAAAGCAGCCGGATACTGGAACCAGAGAGGGAGGGAAATGATTAAGAGGCTTGTTTCAAGCTTTCCTTCATGGAAGACAAAAGTTTTCATCCACTTATGCAAATGATTCCCTTATGTCTGGAGGCATTTTATGGAAGCAATTTAGCAATTTATACAAATAGATCAAGATAACTAGGAATAACAACAACAACAAAAAGTTTTCAAACAGCTGGTTTACTCTGTGCTTTAAATAGTGCAGGCAGCTACGAAAATATTCTTCTTTAATGAGAAGGCATAGGTTACATATGAAAACCTCGTCGCCTAGTCAGACTGCACTTTTCTAAGGAAACAGTTAAAAGTCATACAATTTCAGATAGAATTGATCTTCTTTTTTCAACTCAATGTCAAGAAATAAAAAAATTAAGTTGGAAAAGTTGACAAATTTATGTCCACCCACTCTGTTTGCTCTCCTTAGCAATCTTCCAGGCCATTTATACAAACATTAAGTAAATAAGTTAAAAAATTGTACAATTTTACTGATGTTTTCAGGGTAAACGCTCTGAAAAAAAATTTCAAATGTAACCACTAATGTCCTTTCCAAATCTAACCCAAGTAGTTTAATGAGACAAAGTTCTTATTTTTAAGTCAAATTTTTAAACTTCTCCTGGTGAATGTTTATTGTAAACACAGCAAAGTAAAAACATACCAAAACAGATAAAATGTGGTGCAGAAAAATGGAACCTTTGTCAGAAAAGTTTTTTATTATTTCTTTAAAGGTAGTTGTGAGTCTCAAACACAAAAATTTTTATAGTATGTGATATTTGCAATACAAAGTTATCATATGAAAGGCAAAGTTAAAAAACAAAACAAACAAAACTATGTACCACTAGTTTCAGACAAGGGTCTGCATCCCCAAATTCTGAGATATTGGTTGACAACAACAAAAGTCCTTCCCAAAGGGAAAAAAATTTTTTTTTGCTTGCTATCTACAAATAAAGGCAGTTCTGTTCTTGTCTTGTTGCTCGAACTTTCTGGCGAACATACAGCAGCTAATAGTTTGGCAGTTACACAAATGCATATTTCAAATATCAGATAAAACTAAATGTGTTTATGCTAAGATTGTGTTTTCATTTTACAGATGGTGTCAACAGAGTAATTGTCCTGGCCAACTCTGTGATGCAGTGTAAAATAATTCACAATAATTTTTACAATTTAGTATTTTCACAAAATGCATGCATTTTTTCAGCTGAATTCATGTGACTCCACTCTTTACTGTAAAAACAATTATTTGTGAACCAAAAAGAGTGCTAGGGGCAGGGCTGAATAGCTCAGAATAAACCAACTGGAAAGAGATGATCAGATTTGGACTTTAAGAGGTCTGGGTTTGAATTCTTGCTCAACCACTGACTGTGACCTTGGTGAGGTGCCCTAACATATCTGTGCCCAATTCTTTCATTTATGAAATACCAAAATAACATCAACTTTTTTTCATGTTGTCAGAAAGATAAAATGAGACATTTAACAATGTGGTACAGTACATGTATGTAATAGACTTGCAAATGTCAAGTTCACTTTTCCTTCTTTTCATCTGCTTGAGGTATATAGCACATGCATGTTTTTATAAAAACATTTTTATGTTTTTATACATACTTTACAATTTTTATTCCAATGGCTACACTATATGTCTGTGGATGTACAGCAAAATCCTCTTAAGTCCTCAACTATAGGGCATTATTTTCAAACTTGTCTACATCCTCTTTTCTCTTCCAAAAATAATGTTGCAAATATAAGCTATTCCTGACCTTCAAAAACCTTTTGGTCAGGATGACGCCATACTTATCAAGAAAAATACAGACGGTCAATTTCTAATTTTAAACCCCAAGCCAAATAAACATAGCTCTAAATTACATGTGCAATCAAGGTCCACACTGGAAACCTAAAACACCACCTACTCTGTCTTCCTAACAGAACTTTGTTATCATTCCACCCATTATTATCTTGAGTCGTTCGATGCATGGATGCATTTCTCAATTCTATTCCCTCACGGAGCTCAGCACAACTATCAATAAACAGCTACTACAGTGACGGCAAAGTGTGTTCACAGCCTGAATTACTAGAGATGCTAAGTAGATAAAATGTTCAGACTTCCGCTATCCTGAGTGGGAAGAGAGGAAATGGAGACAGAGAATCACGGTTGGAGACCATTCCTGGCTAACCAGAAATAGAAGAGGCCCAGCGACAGGGGCTGAGAGAAACCAGATGGCTCAGTGGGATAGTCGTTATTTCTTGAATCACTTTATTATTAAAGTATCTGTGCCTAACTATAATCGCAACTCAAGGGGATTATTAAAAATACTCAAAAGTTACAGAGTCACAATGCCTGAGTGCCAGGCCAGCTCTGCCCCAGAGATGTGTGCACTCGGACAAGTTGACGGAACACTCGAGACTTCAATTTCTTATAGAAATGAATGATAACAATACTTGCTGCATAGAATTGCTGCTAAGGTTACATGAGAATACAATATTATTGTCTTTTTCCTCTTCTTTTCTGTCTCCCTATCATCTCAGAAACAGAAAGCAGAATTTCCTGTGAGTGTGCCTGAGTAACTACTGAATCCAAACCCTGTGGATTTGTGACCTGGCTCTACCTTTACTAGCTTTATAGACTTTCTTAGGTTAAACCAGAAGAGACAGAAGTGAAGACAGGTGGTGAAGTAAACCAAGCCACATAAATAGGCTTTACTATTGCTACTGAACTGCAGCCCAGATTCTTCTGTCCTCAGAGTACTTCAAGTCACTTCTTTCTTTAAAAAGAAAAGTTAATATTAATCTAAAATAACACAATTAGGAAGTGACATCTGTCATCAAAATGAGTTCTGAGTGCCGGTTATCATAGTGTTTTTGGAATAACTTTAATTTTGCTTTTCTAAAAAAAATTTTTAATGTTTACTTATTTTTGAGAGAGAGAGAGACAGAGAGAGAGAGAGAGAGAGAGAGAGAGAGAGCTGGAGAAGGGACAGATAGAAGGAGACACAGAATCTGTAGCAGGCTCCAGGCTCTGAGCTGTCAGCACAGAGCCTGATGTGGGGCTTGAACCCACAAGCAGGGAAATCATGACCTAAGCCAAAGTCGGACACTTCACTGACTGAGCCATCCAGGTGCCACATGGAATAACTTTAATTTTACATTAGCATGTTACTAGCATGTTTACATTAGCATGTTACCCTAGCATGTTACTCATTAAGCAGAAATAATCAAAAATTGACATTATGGGGTTAAAATGGGATAACAGATCCAATAGAAGTTCACATATACTCTTTAATTGTGCTTTTTTTAAAAATGTTTATTTGTTTTTTAGAGAGAGAGAGAGAGAGAGAGAGAGAGACAGAGAGTGAGCAATGGAGGGGCAGAGAGAGAGGGAGACACAGAATCTGAAGCAGGCTCCAGGTTCTGAGCTGTCAGCATAGCGTCTGACACGGGCTTGAACCCACGAACCATGAGATCATGACCTGAGCCGAAGTTGGACACACCCCACTGAGCCACCCAGGTGCCCAACTCTATAAACAGTAAAAATCCAAGTAAACTAAAAATGCATATGTTTAAGAACATACTATTTTTAGGCAGCTATAGATTTCTGTGTTTAGATGTAACGTATTTTTCTGAATATGTCTATCTCACCAGAGTAAAAAAGAGTTTTTATTTTACAAACCTACAAACTTACATCATTATGCAATGCTTTTAAAACATCACTATAGCCTCTTACTTGAGTTGAGTGGAGACTGAGGAAATTTGCATGTATGCTCAAAAGTGACCTAATCAACAAGTACTTAGGTACAAGCCTTAGGTAACTGCTTAAAACTGTCAACAGTTACTTTGACATAAACAATTTCATGTGTTTGATAAAAATTTAAGAATAAAACTCAATATAGACCACTTTCTGTTACATGGTTGTTTTCTCTCTTCAAAGACAAGCCTTCACAGCGCGACCGGGGGTAGCTGACTGGATGCCCAAGGGACTGAGTGCCTATGGGTCTTCTAGCCTTGCCTCTAGTCCAGGAAGTAGCATCAACATCACCTGGGAGCTTGGTAGAAATGCAGAATTTCAGGTACCAACCAGCGGATCAGAATCTGAATTTTAATGAGATCCCCAGGTGTTTTGCACTCTCATTACAATTTGAGAAGCAGTGTTCTAGAGGTCATTTCCTGATCTTAGATCATATTATTTTACATCTTTTGAGACGAAGTTTCCTAGAGGAGGATGAAGTCCCATACAGAACAAAGAATGTCAGATCAAATGTCTGTCCTCTCATAAAGTGAATTCTTTTGGCCAGGCAATTATTTAGAGTAGGAAATGTGCAAATGAAACTTTATTATAAACAGAAGCATAAATGACCAAATATTATTAGACAGGAGAGGAAAAACCTTTTCATAGCCAAACAGAAGCATGTAGAGGTTTTTAAACAGAATTAAGGACTACCTAGCTATATAACTGAAATCAAAGAAGCTCAGGTGACTGGCTGTCTGATGATACACTGGTGTCCTTGCTCTCTGCCAGCTGTGACTCATGGGCTGGGAAACAGAAACCCAACCACAACTGCTGGTGTCATCCCTCACGCACATCTTCTTTGATTAAAGACAGCTGATGAAGTTTTCAGCACGTTAACAAAGGCAGTAGCTTGCAACCCAGTAAAATGGGGTTTATGGCTCTGTACAACAAATGACAGACTAGAAAGGAGAACCAGACCTTTCTTGTTTCCTCAAAGAGGACAGACACTTTACATCAAAGGGGCTAATTGGTTGCCATGCTGAGGCAACAAGTGACATCTTTTTTCAAGTCTCCAGGGAATTACGACTTTATTGTTACTTGACTGTGGCCTTTGGTTTATTTCTCCAACACTGGAGGAAGTAAGCAAACTCAAATAATAGGGTGGGGTGGGGTAGAGCGAAGGCAAGATTGCACGGGTCTGATTCTAGACTAACACCTTTGAGGCTCCCAAAGAACTCAGCTGAGCTCACAGGGTATCCTCAGCACACAG